CCCATCGGAGTCCTCTGGGGGGGGGGAACCTAGCACCCATGGGGGTGCTGCACGGGTGCAGCAGCTTGGAGAGCAGAGGGCTCAGTACTTGTGGGTGCTGGGTGGCCTCAGCACCCTGCTCTGGGACCAGCATCCCCGCAGGGCTGAGGCTGCTGGTGCCCAGCAGCCATCCTGCAGGGTGCTAGGAGCAGCAGGCACCGGCCTCTGTCCCTTGGGGTGCCTCAGGGCACTGTGGAAAGCCCCTGAGTGACACACACCCTGCAGTTGGCTGCGGCAAGAGACACAGGTTTGGTGGGCAGCAGAGCCCTCTGTGCCCTCCAGCCACCCGCTCAAGGACGGTGTGGCTGCTCAGGGCCCGAATGTGGCCGGAGGGATGCCTGGGGCTGCCATTCCTACCACTCCCAGAGCTGGCGTGAGAAGGCAGGTCTGTAGGTCATTGAGTTTGTGGCAGGAGCTCAAGAGGAGGCCCTGAGACAGTAGGTTTGCATGGGAAAAAAAATCCAGGATGGAAAAAAAAAAACCAAAGCTGCCTAGTCTGTCCTACCCAGGCACTGTCATCACCCCAGCACAGACGGAGTGAGGGCTGGCTGAGCCAACCTCCCAGGAAGCCCCTGCCAGGGCTTAGTGCTGCAGAGGGTGTGCACACAGAAGATTTGCAGGCTCAGGGGTTTTGGGGGGGTCAGGAGCCACTCAGTTGCCCCAGAAGGGGAGAATGAAGCCTCCCTCCCTTGCTTGCTGCAGCTTTCCCTTTGCCCTGTTGCAGTGAGGCTGGACAAGCTCTCCGAAGTTGCCAAGGTGAACACGGATGCCATCCGCTCGGCCCAGGAGGAGATCAGCGAGTACCGTCGCCAGCTCCAGTCCAAGACCACTGAGCTTGATGCCCTCAAAGGGACCCAGGAATCATTGGAGAAGCAGAGGCAGGACTCAGAGGAGCGCCATCATGCAGACGTCCTGTCCTACCAGGTAATGCAGTGCCGGGGATGAGGTGCCAGACCTGTAGCTTCATAGGGAGGGATCATCTAGCTGCTAGGGAGGGTGGTACTGGTATTGGCCCCAGAGATAATGGCCAGCTGCAAATACTTGGCAGTTGTGTCTACTGCAGTCCTTTCCCAGCTCCTGGTGACAGGGTACCCAGAGCTTGAGGTTGCATCCAGAGTGATGTCCCCATTGCCATGGTGGGGTTGTCCCCATGCATCTGGCTCTGAGCTGCCTCAATGCTGCTCACAAACGCCATTGCTGCCTGCTCAGGGTGCAAACTGTGTCTCAGAAATGGGAACTACAGCATGGAGGTCTTGCTGTGGGTACCACAAGCCTGTGATGGCAGTGGACTGAAACGCGATGCTCTGTCCCCGTCAGCCTCAGCCTGGGGGGTGGTGGCTGGGGTGGCCACTAGACTCGTCCAGAACCTAGAAATGTAGCTGCAGTGGGGAGCTGGCACTCCCATGGGGAGTGCTGCTCACCTCCGAGATGGCGCAGGGCTCCTGCCGGGCAGCAAGGAGCCAGGACCCCAGGCAAACTGAGGAATGTGTATAAAAACTGAAAAACATGTATAAATAGCTGATGGGAGGGTATCAAGAGGACAGGACCCGACTCGTCTCAGTAGGCAATGGGCACAGAATGAACACAAGAAACCATGTCTTGACTGTGAGGGTGGCTGAGCATGGGAACATGTTGTGGAGGCTCCATCCTTGGAGATATTCAACACCCAACTGGACGCAGTCCTGCCCCAGCTCGAGCAGGAGGTTGGACCGGCGGCTCCCCAGAGTCCCTGCTGATCCCAATTGCTCTATGAGTCTGGGAAACAGCTGCTGACCCTGCCTCCTCCTCTCCTGCAGCTGCTGGGATAGTTGGATGTGGACCCCTCAGTGGGGATACCCCAGGGTTGGGTGAGTGGAGTTGCACCTCCAGGGAGCAAGGGACTGTGCAGAGAGGCTCTGGGCTACCAGGCTCCTGGGGAACGGTGTGTGGAAGGGCAGGCCCTGTGCGCTCTGCTTGGGACCTGTGTATCACCGGTTGCTCCGTCTGCTGCAGGAGACCATTCAGCAGCTTGACAGCGAGCTGAGAAACAGCAAGTGGGAGATGGCAGCGCAACTCCGAGAGTACCAGGATCTGCTCAACGTCAAAATGGCCTTGGACATTGAAATTGCTGCCTATAGGTATAGAGTTGGCAAGGGGAAGGTGGGGACTCTCCGCCAGGATGACTCTCTCAGGGTCATCTTGGTCTCTTTCCCAGAAATGGCCTTGTCTGACCCTTGCTAACACCTGGGGCCCTACTTGGTGACAAAGAGAATCTTGAGTCCTCAAAGACCACAGTGGGCAAGGGCCACCTGGGGGGCCCAGCCCTATGCATGGGTGCAGAGGGAAGGGCGAGGAAGCCTTTGCTGTGCAGGGGGAGGCAATACTACCCACAGGAGCATGGCAATGAGGGAGATGAAAGTGCAGGATGTGCTGGACAGCTCCTGCTGGGGCCCTTGGTCATGGAAGGAGGTGAGAGCTGGGGTGAGAGGCATTCACTGACTTCCCTACTCTGTTGTCCTCCTGGCAGAAAACTCTTGGAAGGGGAGGAATATCGGATCGAGTCTGGCTTTGGGATGCTCTCCTTCCCAGAGGTGGCCCCCAAGGCTCCCAGTATCACCACCAACATCAAGGTGAAGAGTGAGGAGAAAGTCAAGGTGGTGGAAAAATCTGAGAAGGAGACTGTGATTGTGGAGGAGCAGACAGAGGAAATTCAGGTGACTGAGGAGGTCACAGAAGAGGAAGAGGCTGAGAAGGAGGCTGAAGAGGAGAAGGAAGAGGGGAAAGCTGAAGCAGAGGGTGAAGAAGAGGCCAAGTCTCCTGCAAAAGAGGAGGCTAAGTCCCCAGCTGTGAAGTCCCCAGAGAAACCTGCATCCCCCTCCAAGGAGGAGGCTAAGTCCCCAGCTGTGAAGTCCCCAGAGAAACCTGCATCCCCCTCCAAGGAGGAGGCTAAGTCCCCAGCTGTGAAGTCCCCAGAGAAACCTGCATCCCCCTCCAAGGAGGAGGCTAAGTCCCCAGCTGTGAAGTCCCCAGAGAAACCTGCATCCCCCTCCAAGGAGGAGGCTAAGTCCCCAGCTGTGAAGTCCCCAGAGAAACCTGCATCCCCCTCCAAGGAGGAGGCTAAGTCCCCAGCTGTGAAGTCCCCAGAGAAACCTGCATCCCCCTCCAAGGAGGAGGCTAAGTCCCCAGCTGTGAAGTCCCCAGAGAAACCTGCATCCCCCTCCAAGGAGGAGGCTAAGTCCCCAGCTGTGAAGTCCCCAGAGAAACCTGCATCCCCCTCCAAGGAGGAGGCTAAGTCCCCAGCTGTGAAGTCCCCAGAGAAACCTGCATCCCCCTCCAAGGAGGAGGCTAAGTCCCCAGCTGTGAAGTCCCCAGAGAAACCTGCATCCCCCTCCAAGGAGGAGGCTAAGTCCCCAGCTGTGAAGTCCCCAGAGAAACCTGCATCCCCCTCCAAGGAGGAGGCTAAGTCCCCAGCTGTGAAGTCCCCAGAGAAACCTGCATCCCCCTCCAAGGAGGAGGCTAAGTCCCCAGCTGTGAAGTCCCCAGAGAAACCTGCATCCCCCTCCAAGGAGGAGGCTAAGTCCCCAGCTGTGAAGTCCCCAGAGAAACCTGCATCCCCCTCCAAGGAGGAGGCTAAGTCCCCAGCTGTGAAGTCCCCAGAGAAACCTGCATCCCCCTCCAAGGAGGAGGCTAAGTCCCCAGCTGTGAAGTCCCCAGAGAAACCTGCATCCCCCTCCAAGGAGGAGGCTAAGTCCCCAGCTGTGAAGTCCCCAGAGAAACCTGCATCCCCCTCCAAGGAGGAGGCTAAGTCCCCAGCTGTGAAGTCCTCTGAAAAGGTCAAATCTCCTGCAAAGGAGGAGGCGAAGTCTCCCGAGAAGGAAACAGCCCCAGCCAAGGAGCCCATTCCCTCCCCTCCGAAGGAGCCAAAAGCCCCCGTGAAAGAAGAGCAGCCCAAGGAAGAGAAGGCTCCCTCCAAGACCCAAGCTGAGGAAGGCAGGAAAGAGGAGGCCCCCAAGGCTGTCCCAGCCAAGGCGGAGGAGAAGCCCAAAGAGAAGATGGCTGGTGTGCCGGGGAAGGAGCCCACTAAGCCCACGGAGGAAGGGAAGGCTGAGAAGGAGACTCAGCCAAAGCCTCAGCAGGAGCCTGGCAAAGTGGCCGAGAAGCCGAAGGCTGAGGAGAAGAAGGAGGAACCAAAGAAAGAGAAAGCAGAGCCCAAAAAGGAGCCAGAGGAGAAACCCAAAGTTGAAGCTAAACCCAAAGATGAGCCCAAAGCCAGTAAAGAGCCTGCCAAGGCTGAGAAAGTGGCCAGCGCAGATGCCAAGGAGGGCAAAGCCCCAGAGCCAGTGCCTGCCCCGGGCAAGAAGAGCGAGAAGTGAGCAGATCCCTGGCTCCACGGGTGCCGGGAGCGGCTTCACTGCCCTCCAAGGGCCGAAGGCAGGTTGGGGCATCGCCCGCCAGGCCCGGCATTAGCAATATGTTTGTGCGAGAGACATAGCTCCTAGCTGCCCTCCTCCAGGGATACGTTACGATCGCTTCTGTAGCTGAATGTGATACACGCAGAGCGCCACATTTAACACTTGAATTATAATGACAGGACCGGCCCTGACGGGACCCGACTGCCCTTCTCCAATAAGTGCATTTATTTAACGTATGTGCAATCGACGGACAGGCACGCTGTGCAGCTCTAGCTGCTTGGGCTGCGTGCTAAAGGCTAGCAGAACCCTAATAGCGTTTCCCCATCTGGGGGAAACTGTCCTTTCTGCGTGGTGACGCAGGCTGGGGCTGGCTTGGGTGGACCGGGTTAGGCACGGTGCGGAAACACTTACTAAAACACAATGTGCACGAGGAGACTCGAGTCCACTCTCAGTTGCTTATGTGCAATAACCAAATAAAGTGCTTACAGAAATAACCTGGGCTCTCATTGTGCTGGTCACTGGGGTGGGAGGCAATGGCAAAGGGCGGCTGGGCACTGTAAGATCCGTTTGAGCAGAAGGCCTGGACCATAAGCAGGAAAGGCCGTCTCATGGCACAGCAGCCCTGAGGAGGAGCAAAGCTGTGCCACGGAGGCTCGTAACCCCTCCCAGCCTGGCTGCACTGTTGGGGCATAGCTCAGCTCAGGACTGCGCGTCGCCCGCCACAGCGTGCCATGCAGCCCCCCCAGGCTGGGAATGACTAACATAGGCAGCCCTGTCCCTGCCACCCCAGAGCAGGGGCGTGCAAGGTGTGACAGCGGCTCTCCATAAGTAAACAGCACTGAGAACCGAACCTGACTGCCTCTCGGGGAAGGCGGCCAAACCCCAGGCCCTGCCTGTGGTCCAGGGAGTGGGAGAGAGCCTGGCAAAGCCAGGCAAGAGCCCCAGCTCACAGACCAGTGGCTCGTCTGCATGCTTCCCCATGGGGGCTGAGAACAAGGCCAGCCCCCCATGGGCTTGTAGTGGCTTTTTCTTCCTTCTCGATTTAAAATGGGGCTCCCAGGGGCTGCTGGGGGCTGGTTTAACCTGAGCGCTGCAGCGCAGCCCTGCACTGCAGCACTTGCAGTGGCCAAGCACCCTCAGGGAGGGTGAGAGGGTCTGCGCGCCTGCAGTGGGAATGCTGGCTTTGGCTCAAACCTGGCAAGCCAAGAGGGACAATGACCCTGGGCAGGTGCACAAAGCCACCGTGGCTCAGACAAGAACCACGGCACCATGTACTGAAGCAGGGATCCCCAGCAGCGCAGCCCTGCACTGCAGCACTTGCAGTGGCCAAGCACCCTCAGGGAGGGTGAGAGGGTCTGCGCGCCTGCAGTGGGAATGCTGGCTTTGGCTCAAACCTGGCAAGCCAAGAGGGACAATGACCCTGGGCAGGTGCACAAAGCCACCGTGGCTCAGACAAGAACCACGGCACCATGTACTGAAGCAGGGATCCCCAGGAAGGGCCCCAAGGAGGCTCTGAGACCCCACCCAGCACCCTTCAAGCCCCTGATGCAGTGAGCAGGGACTCACCCTCACCCTGGCAGGAAGGTGCTTGGCCCTCCATGCCAGCAGGAGCTGGGCCAAGCTCCCGCTGGAGGCCAGAGCGACCCCCTGGCACAGCAGAGAGAGCCCGGGATCCCTAGGCAGAGCCAGGACAGGGGAACCAAGCCTTCCCTCCCTGTTTTGAGCTCTTTCTGCCAAAGAAGCTGGCAGGCAACCAGCAGAGACAAGGACAGGCACTGGCTGCAGTGCGGGCTCAGGGCTATTTTTAGCCTCTCGGCTCAGAGTTATGGAGGAACCACAGTGGTGAGGGAGGTGCAAAGGGCTGGCAGGGCCTGAGGGACACAGCAAACCTGTCCAAGCCAAGAGCCACAGGGACAGGGCTGGGGACAGAGCACTGCAGCATCGCACACATCCCCCCTTCTTGGTGCTGGGGCACACCACAGCCAGCCCCCCTCAGCGAGAGTGGATCAGCGCAGGGATCTTCCCCTGCCCTACAGCAAAGGTTTCCAGCCCAGGGACAAGCAGGTCCACACAGTGGGGACAGTGATGTCACCCCAGTGACAGTCACATGCAACAAAGTGTGTCATGTCCTTGGGAGAGCTGCCTCCAGCCCTCACAAGTACCCTCATTGTGGCCCAGGCCAGCTGCACACACGACAGGCACACGCTTTTTTCCTTCAGTCCAGCATTTAATCCCTTCGGATACAAAACCCCAAGCAAACCTTGGAAAAGCAACTGAAATGGCAAGATAGGGCTGCTCCTCCTTCCCACGGCCAGGATGAGGCCCAGGCCCAAAGCAGTACCCAGGCAGGAGAGCTCAAGGGAGTCAGCGATGACTGAAGAAACCCTGTGGGTAGTTAAACTTGAACGGCTTCATACGAGTGGGCCCCCTGGAAGAGGAGACGGAAGGGAGCAGATCACCCATCAGCACCTTTCTCATTTTGAGCAACACTTGACTGGCAGCAGGATGGAGCTGCGGCACTGGGTTAGGCAGGGCTGAGCTCCAGGGACTCTTGCCAGTACCCTCACCCCCCATCCAGCTCCCTGCTGCCTGCAGGGAGGGCTGGGAGCAGCGCCCTGCTCTCAGGTGTCCCCTGCTCTCACCTGACAAGGCGCAGACACATCTTCTCCTGGGGGAACTCTTTGGGCCCCTCCACGCTGGTGTCGTGTGACTCTGTCTCCAGGTAGACGTCAAGCACCATGCAGAGGCGCTGCAGCTGGTTGGTGAGGAGCTGATAGCCAGGTTTGGGTCCCCACAGCTCCTTGTAGCTCACATTGACTTCACTCTCCATGGCCTGGCAGAGGGATCAGCACAGTGCAGGTCTGGCCCTGCTCTTCCCTCCCAGGACTGGCTGCTGGATCCACCCTGCAGGGTCCGCATGACCCCTGGCCCCCGCGGCTGCTCTCCCAAGCTGCCTGGCCACTAGCTCCTCCCCAAACCGGCTTGGGCACTACCTCGTCCCAGCGGCTGCCTTACCACGGCCGCAAAACTGCTAGAAACAAAACCCAGTGGCTCTCCCACCCTGGCGGCTCACCCGAATGTTGTCATCATTGCTGCTGGTCCGCTCCCCTTTCCAGTTGAGGCATAGGCTGAAGATGGGCGGCAGCGTGGAGTAGCCGGGGTTGAGCACCACGGCGGCCTGCAACTTGGCTGAGCAGGGAGGAAACATCACGTGCAGCCCATGGCGCCTCCACCCTCAATTGGGGGTCCCGTTAAGACACCCGGCAAGGCAGGGACAGGCCGTGAAGGCAGCATGGAGGAGGGTTGGAGGCAATCTTCACAAATCTGAAGCTAGACTTCACTGGGCACTGGTTCCCTGCCATGTCCTGCATCCCTTGGGCATGGCCACCAGCACTCACAAGCCGGCACCCTCTCTGGTGTCCAAGCAGGCTTGGCCCATGCTGGGAGCAGCAAAAGCTGCCCTGGGGGTAACACAGGCAACTACTGGGAACGAGGAACTGCCGGGGCAAGGAAAGGTGCCTACCTGTTCCCCGTTCAATCAGGGCCATGTAATAGAGGTGGGTGTCCTCAGCCAGGCCAGCCTCCAGCACATCCCTGGTGTAGGGCAGCTCCTGCGAGGAGTGGCAGCAGGAGGAGTGAGTGGCCACCAGCACTGAGCCCCAGCGCAGAGCGGGAGGGAAAGGACCTCGTGCGCAGCACCCACCGCGTAGTCCTCGTAGGGGATAGCAGCCCACTTCACCAGGCGTGAGACGATCTTGGAAGGGAAGAGGTGCTGGCACTCGCTGGACACTGGCACGACACCGTGCTCTGAAATGGAGGACAGGGCCGCCAGGGCCGCCTGAGCAGGTGAGGGCTGGGGCCAAGTGCTCCCGTCCTGCTGCCAGGGACGACGTATGACACGTTGGTGGGGACAGTCTAGGTGGCAGCAAAACTGGGACCTGGGGACAGTGTTGTCCCTCTGACATCAGCACTGGGTGCCCAGATGGCAGCAGAGCCAGTTGCGATTGTTGTCCCACCAGAGCACGCAGCCTCAGTGGCACATGCCCAGTTCGCTTGCGCACAACACTTCTGATGACAACTCAACTGCCACTGAGGTTCGAATCAATCCCTGGCAGCAAGCTTGCGGGCTGAGCCAGGGCAGCCCAAAAAGGCTGCTGGGCAGTAAGAGAGGACACAGCCTAGCCCCTGTGCTGCCCTCCAACCCCTGCTCCCACTGCCAGTGCTGAGGGGACGGGGACAGCTGGGACTGCTGATGGTGGCACTGCAGTGATGCTCAGTTGGGCTTGCCCAGGGACATTTCAGTGGTATTTGGACACAGGCTGGAAGCGCAGGGCCAGGTGGAGGGACCAGGAACACCCCTGTGCCTGCACATGAGAAGTGAAGGGGACAGAGGGATCCGTGACATCCCTCAGAAGGGGCCTCAGTCACGTCTTCTGTGCAACAGGCGACTCAAAGGTGACCTGCTACCGCACAGCCCATCCCTGGGCCAAGGGCAGGGAGCCAGACACTCACCCAGTGACGCAAACTGCTTGTGGAGAGCCAGGCGCGACTGCAGCCTCGTCCGCAGCAGCTTCACTGTCATCTCCATGTGGCTTGCGCTCAGCGAGTTGTCTGCGGTGACCACGTGCTGCAGGTAAGAGGGGCTGTCACCCAGTGGGCCCTTTGCTGGGGACCCTGCAGCACCCAGTGCAGCACCGGGGACCTCCCTCCCACCCAGGGGAACAGACACATGCTCACGTTGCCACCCTTAACGAGCTGCTTAGTGCCAGTAAACGTGACAGGGTTCAGACCATCGCACATGGGAGGTAAAATACATTAGCGTGACCCCATTGCGCTGGTTCATCCCAATTAACTAACCAGTCTGACCCGATCAAGGATGCTTGTGGGCTCCCACTGTTTGGGAGCAGCCAGTGCCAGCTGCTGGGGTGTAGCAAGGGGACACAATTGTCCCCAATGCCTCAAGAAACCCAGGCCAGCCCCTGCAGCGGGTGGAAGGTGAGAGCAAAGAAGGGAAGGGGAGGGCATGCAACTTGCCTGAGGCTGGTCCTTGGGGAAGTGCAGGCCGCCCAGCTTCTGCACCCACACGTAGGGATGCCCCAGCTCAGTCACATAATCGCTCAAGGTCAGGATGCTGCAGGAACAGAGAGGAAGGGTTATCCCACCAGTGACCTCGGTGATGCTGGGGCAACTCTCCCCTAATCCTCTGGCAGTCCAGATGGCCACCTAATAGCCACCCAACGCGCCCTGCCGTCCTGGAAAGGAGCAGCTGAGAGCCTGGCTCAGGGCTCCACCAGCTCCGAGTCCTCAGAGCTGCCCCGCAGAGGGATGAGCTGGGCCCAGAAACAGGGCAGCTGCGCCAACGGCCTGGCCAAGGCTACATGGACAAAGCCAGCGCCTACGCACCCCACTTTATCGAACTGGAACTGGTTGGCTGGGTTCGGTGTTTTCTTCCCGTGGTCTCCCGGGTACAGGCAGCTCAGGAGGGAATCTGGGG